GTCACCAGGCAGGACCAAAAGGAACCAACAAGACGGGTGTTTGGTGTTGTGGTGTTAGTTTTTTTCGTTTTATATTATCTTTTTGCTACCAGCACCCAACAGCAAGATGATAGCGCATTAACTAGTGGTCAGCTTACAAGTTCATTGCTCGCACGGAAGTGGAAAATAATGATGGAAGGTCATTTTCGAAAATCGAAGGTGATTGAAGAAATGCTGGAAGGAGAGGCAGAGAGGGTAGGCTCATTGGACTCAAGATTTTAAATAAATATGTCACTGTTTTCACATATTCATCTACATTTGACATTGCAAGGTGCCAGCTACTGATACCACTACTACTTTTGGGTGGAACTTACTCGAGCTGTGCGGCATGGTGCATTGACATTGCTAAGACCAAAATGGCAAGATTTTCAAGATATAATAATTCAAGATAGTAATTCAAGATAATTCAACTCAAGATAGAATAAATTTAAAAAAGAAATTGAATAGCATGAAAGAAATGTATAAAGGCTTGTTTTTTAAGCAAGACGTGCAAAGTTTGCATGGTTGCGAACCCGAACAAACTTGCTGAATGCTGTCATAAGATTGTGCCACTGAACTCAGCAAGTCATGCTGCCAATATTGAAGGAAAAGAAAATAATAGTAATGCTGTAAAATGTAAATGAATCCATAACTGATGTGTGTGCAGTGTGCACTGTGCTGATATTGAATGCATGTGTATCTTGCATGCATGAGTCATGCAGGGATCATGTTAAAACTGGCTGTAAGTATTGTGAGTTAGTTTTGCTAAATTGTGGAGGCACCAGGCAAATTGCGGTCAAAATGTTATTTGTTCACCTCAGCGCTGAAATTTCTGCACACAGAGTTTTCAGATCATGCGCCGAAATGTTCATGCAGCCCGTCCGTTACGCTGGTCATGTTGACAGTGACAAGGATTTTTTCCCAGTCTCATGTTGAAATACAATAATAATTCACTTAGCTTGATTTTAGCTTATGTTTTTCATGCCAGTTCCTAGAATAAGGCAGCCAATATTTTCTGTCATGTGAGAAATAAAATGACAATATGCACAATTGCGGGCTGTGGCATGTTGTGATGTTTTTCCTTGTTTATTGCTGAGGTTTTTCCAGTCTCTGCTGCAAAAACGGTGGTGAATCCACCGTCGTCCGACGGTTTCGATGACGCCAGTCATCGGCGAGTGTTGCTGTGATGGCCGACCTGACTGAGCGCACAGCGGCAGCCGCCGTCGCCAATAACGACAGTGAGGACACCTCCGAGTCGGACGGAGACGCCGCCGCGGACGACTTCACCGTGCTGGACGAGGTGGAGCGCTCGAGCCGACAGGCCGTGCACCGCGTGCGCTGCCCGACTGGCTGGCGCACCCGCAGCCGATTGGCGACCGGCGGCCGGCGCCGGCCAATCTGCCGGCGCTCTGCCCCGAGCTGCGCGCCCGGCTGGCCGCCGAGGGCATCGAACAGGTGTTCCTGGTGCAGGTGACGGTGCTGCCCGAGTTGCTGGCGGCCGCAGAGTCGTCGCTGCCACCGGCCGACCTCTGCGTCTCGGCGCCGGCCGGCCGCGGTAAGACGCTGCCGTTCGTGCTGCCGCTGGTGCAGGCGCGGCGCCGCGGTGCGCCGGCCGCCGGGTGCGCGCTAGCTGTGCTACCCACACAGGAGCTGCCCGCTCAGGTGCCCGCCGTGTTCCGCCAGTACGACGCCGACACGCCGCTCTGCGTCCGGCTGCTGGGTGGAGACGAAGTGGCACGAGGGGGGGGGGGGGGGCACCAACTGGTGGCGGTGGGGCCGCGCGGCCCGGTCTCCCTGGCTGATCGTGGTGAGCACTCCTGGCTGGCTGATGGATCACATACCCAGCGCCGAGGGCTTCTCGCTAGCGCACCTGCGCTACCTGGTGATCGACGAAGCCGAGCGGGTGATCGAGATGGCCGAGACGGGCTGGCTGAAAGCGGTGGAGCGGGTGGCGGCAGCCACGGCCCGCCGCCCTGCATCGCCGGCCGGCCGACGGCCGCCGCCGTCTGCGCGCCTCACCTGCCGCTGCAGAAGCTGCCGTTCTTGGCTACCCTGTCACAGAACCCGGAGGCCGGAGAAGCTGGAGCGAATGTCGCTGTTCCAGCCGCGACTGCTGGTGGCCGGCACGGCCGGCCGCCGTCGCACTGCCCGGTCAGTTCGTCGGCAGGTTCACCACGCCGGCCGAGCTGAGCGAGTCGTTCAACGTGGTGGCGCCGCAGCCGCTGAAGCCGCTGCTGATGCACAATTTGCTCCGACAGCCCGACTGGCGGCGCTCGCTCGTGTTGGTCAACTGGAACGAGGCAGCGCACCAGCTGGAGCTACCGCTGTCGGTGCTGGGCGCGCGCGAGGCCGAGTTCCCTGGGGGCAGTGCCGGCGGGCCAGCGCGGCGGCGGCGCGCGCCAGCTGAGATGCTGGTGTGCTCGAGGCTATGGCGCGCGGTATTGACGTGGACGCCGTGGACGCGGTCGTGTCGTACGACATCCCGGCGCTGTTGAAGGCACACTGCGTGCGTCGGACGGCGCGCGTTAGCCGGGCCGGCCAGGCGGTCACGCTAATGTTTGAGCGGCAGCGCAGCCATTTCTTGCGGCTGATGGCGCAGGCGGGCAAGGTGGACGGCCGGGTGCGGGAGACGCCGGTGCCGCTGTACGAGCTGCGCCAGTACGAGGCGACCTACGTCAGTGGATTTCCACGCTAGCTTCTAGTTGATCGCTTTTTTCACCTTTTTTACGCTCATCGCTCATGATTTATTTACATTTTAGAAATATTACAATGAATAGGTGTTTACCTTGTCATCAGCCCAGAAAAGTTAAAGTAGGTAAGGCGTTTTTAGTTGCATAATGTATATTTGTTCATGAACACGGATTTAACGTGTCCTAACTCTCAAATACTTCGATATTAGACCCGAGTTTTGCAAACCAGTCGAAAGGCTTAGAACGATCATTTGGTTGGGGCGTAGCCAGACGGCTCGACTGGGCGTGGAAGCCGGCGAAAAGGTGGTCACCACGCGATCATCATGTAAAGCGGTCTCCGTCGGACGATTGTGTCCGTGCGCAACGAATGATCTCGGCACACGTGGACGAGTTCGGCAGGACTCTCCACTGAGCGGTACTGGGCGCAGTCGAACGACGGTCGACGAAGCTAGCGCAGGTATTGTTACGAGCCGGACCAGTGTAGCGGGGCCGGAGCTTATATTGTTTGCTGTGTGGCGTTCCTTCGTCTTGACCGGGCCCGGCAAACGGGGCCTGCATATCGGCTGAAACCACCTAGCCGGGCAGCATGACCTCCACCTCGCCGAAGTGGGGCGAACGACCGCCCTCAGCCCTGCAATGACCGCGGTGCAGTTAATCTGGGTAGGTATCTTCCTGAGGTATGACACTCGCCTTGGCACAAGGCTGACCCATATAGGCTTTGGCGAATCCTTAGCCCTCTTGGTCCTAGAAGTAGGTGTAATGCAGTGCGCGCGAAGCCGCCTCGCAGCACCGCAGTTCACTCGCTCGGCAGCGGAACTGTCCGTCCAGCTTCAGGTGGCGCCTCTGGGAACAATGTTTGCCGCTTCTTCCCCACTCTTTTGACATCTAGGAAAGAGGTGCGACTCCCGCGTCGGGAGCGGGTCCCATCTATTATAGTCCCCACCTCATAAAAGGTGGGAGTGGGGGTCCATACATTACGTGCACGTTCGACACGATTATTTTCTACAAGGTGCAACTAAAAGCAGACAAAAAGGTTAATTGCAAGTTGAAGGTATTGTAAAAATGAAAAATAATAGGCTGACAGGAAAAAAGATCCACTAAAACGCACGCATCCTATCGTGACCGTCATAAATGACGTAGGTTTACAATTTGGTGGTCTTGTATTGGCAAGTTTATTATGGTCTATTTTGTGGTTACAACTCTTGAAAATATATGTTATGTTTTCCAATAATAATATTTCTCAATCTTTGTTGTATTTGCTTTAAAAAAAACACGCTTAACTTTATTTGAAACATGTTTTAAATAATTTATCAATCTCCTTGACCATTATCGATATTAAAATATCAGCTGACTGCCGGCGACAAATATTTCCGGCCGATGTTGGCTGGAATTTTTTTGTTGGTGAAACTCTTGGCTGTGTGGCGGCTATTTTTTTTTCGGCTGGATATTTTATTTCGGCGGCCGGCTGGTATTTTTTGGTAAAACTGGCCTCTGATATCTGGAAGAGACGACGCTCAGCGCGTGCGACTGCTGATGCATGCATCACCGCCCAGAAATAGCTCAATAATGACATAGCTACCGCGAAAACCGCCGTTTTCCAATGCAGGGCGCCTGCGGGAGCGCATCGGTGGCACGCAGCGTGAGACTAATTTGCATACGTAGTCTGCAGTTATCGACTATTTAGAAACCGGAACGGCCGCCCTAAAGGCATGTCTCCTCCGCCACCAGCGCCCATAACATCCAGAGACAGTTTTAGAGCGGTGCTCACACAGCACCATTTGGCGTTGCATCGAGCAGTTGGGTTTCACCTATGGGTCCGCACATCTGCTGCATTCGACGGCAGAGCACTCATAAAACGGTCATGGGTTGTGCAGCGTTTGAGAGCGGGGAACGTGCTCAGCTGCCGCAGGCGCGGAGGGTCTGCGAGCACACCCACTGGTGGGTGCTAGAACCCTGCAGGAAGTGGAATAATAGCTTCAGTTGAATGCGGTGGGACGGAGAAGGGTAGCGCTTGAGACTTTTAGAAACAGAAATGTCTAAGGAAGATGGTGTTTGGAACGATGTCCCTTCCTGAATTAGGTCCTTCTAAGCGACGATTTTTTATTGTTGTGGTGCTAGTGTCCTTTTCTTGAGAAAATAAATATTTTGGGTAATATTTTGTATGTTTCAAAGTAGTTTCCATTTTGCTATTTTACCATCTTATTCTGTCATCAGACGTTAAGGTCCGGGCACAGAGCACATTTTGTCAGATATTGCACATGTCCAAGACCCACTGTCAGAGAGTGTACTCACATGCCACTGTGACCTTGACCGTCGGGCTGGTCTTCCTGCCTCGGCTGCTGACCGCCGTACAATTGCACCTGTACTCTCCAAAGTAGCTCTCCACCGCTCCACGAGTCACTGCCAACTTCAGCTCCAGCTGCCTGATGGCAGTCTCCGGGTCCACATAGTCCGCTCTCGAGTGCTCATCGTCCGCCATTAGGTAGCCATTGCACCGGAAGAAGAGGTGTAGCGCGTGCGCCGCGCGACAGGTCAAGGTCGCCGGCTTGTTGCGACGCACATACGCGGGGGCGGGGACTTCGAGAAACACGGGATCTGATTGGTCGAGGCTGGGTCCTGTTGGCAGCACATCTGGTAGAAGTAGATCTGTAAAAGGGAAACAAATGAATCCAGATGTTGCCGAAGCGTCATTATTCTTTTCCTCAGGTTAATAAATATCTAAAAAGTTAATTGTTTTCAAAACGGGCTTAGCTGAGGAAAACTAAATATTATAACCATGGTTATAATATTTAGTTTTCCTCAGCGAAGCCCGTTTTGAAAACAATTAACTTTTTAGAAACAAATGAAGTTATGTCAGAGGGTTTCTGTGGGCACGGATGGGCATGGTTGGTTATATCAAGCGCGTATGTTTTTCCAGTACGAAATTGTTGCATTGGAATAAATTGTCTACATCAAAAATAACAACTTTTAAATGTTTATCATGCTAGAGACAATTTCATGATGTCTTTATTACTTGAGTGACTTGTTATGAATTTAAAAGTAAGGTATAAGTAGTGACGCCTGCGTATGAGTCAGTTTATTCCTTCTACGCAGCAGGCAATCTACATTATTCAATTTGCAAGTATAGTGACTCTTCCAACGCACACAGAGGAATCCAGCATCCATTTAGAAATGACAGTTCAATTGCGGTGCCGTCTGTCGCAGGGCCATCTTGATGTCATGTCACACACAGTTGCAGGCGACAACCGCCTATGTTAATAGAATTTAAGTAGCATGCTTATGAAGACTGAGAAAGAATCCCGCCAATCGGGCCAAATTGGTCGGATGTCAACCGTCAGCTGGATAAAGGCTAAAAGAAGACGGAAATGATAATCTCGGAGGGGATCAGGCGGCTTCTTTGGTAGTCCAGATTGACATTTTGTGACATGGTCGTTGCAAAGGATGCAGTCGGAATTTCAAGAAGGTGGTGTGAGGAGGGAGGGCATTGGTACTTTACCAAGAGACCGAAAGGGCATAATCAGGAAACTGACGGTTCGAGGTCTACCTCAACTGGTGTCACAGCTTCTAATCGAATGCTAACATTGAACGAATTGCACGACTAAAGAAACTTGTCCGTCAATTTGGTTACTCTCAAAATTGTTATGCACCTTTTCTCTGGCCATCATCATGGTGCAAATAACAAAGAAAAAGCTGAGCCATGAAGTATGCACATCACGAGATTGCGTATATTGTGATCTGTGACCACGTTTCGTTGCAAATTTGCGCTGCCATGCCCACTCGTTGAATAATATATCAATTATAAAGGTGTGAGCAGCATTGCCAAATATTTCACACGACACCCCTGACTTTGCCTCCTTAAAATAGAATCATCTTTTTTTAATTCAGCAACTGTCAGTGAATTAAAAGGCTTACCGTCGTCGGCACTGGAGTGTGGTACGGGGTCCAGAAACGGACCGAACCCTGCGGCCAGTCTTGCAGTCCATATGAGCACGAGCAGCACATTTAGTGCTGACATATTGAGGAAGACAATCTGAAACAAATGGAGAATTGCGTCAAGAAAAATTGTGCAACTATGAAGAGAACAAGACGCTTAATTTTTCTTTTTGTAGTGCACGATTGGAAAACATGTTTTATTATTTACTGATGTGCGGAAGAAAGACCAAAGCCAGAAGTTTCAAAGTAATGAGCAATAGCCATCACCTAAAGTATCTACCTATCAGGCAGAAATATCTGCATAAAAATTAATCTCGTCTACGAGTACAGGTGTCCATTGCACTGTGGTTGTGCAGAGTGTAATAACTTATACACACTGAGGAGCACTACGTCAGCAGTAGCGCACAGAAGCGACCATCATCCCGACGCTCAATTTTCCCCTTATCTTGGCGACCCAAACTCCGTAGTCACCGTGCTCGTTTCGTATGACCAGCAGCAGCACGAGACCAGGATGTGTCACCCGCACGGTGGCACGATCCTCCCGTCTAAATATTTATAAACGCGGCCCGTTACGTCCTTGGCAAATACATTGCCACGCTCTGAGGGAGGCGGCTAGTCAGATATTCAGCAGGGACATGGCCATGAGGGTCAACAAGCTGACCAACATGATGGCTCTGCATTCCAGCGTGCAGTGAAGCGATTTCAGAGGTTGCGCTTCGTTGGCAGTAAGGGTAAAATGTGGATGTGGATTGCGGGTGTCATGTGAAATGGACAGGAGATAGGTAGATTGACGCTAATGGTATTGTAAGGCAGATACCACGGGGTGAGGCCACATCATACAACCTCGGTGAGGTCGCAATGTAAACGAGATAAATAGCCTAGAACATTTAGGTGGAGTAGCCGATTAAGCAAGGTGAATGGTGGATGAACTCAAATAAAACTATTCTGTGTGCGGCAAAGATAACGAATTATCACCGTCGGAGTATATCAGTGCGCTGATATATGACGCACAATGTAAGGCAATAAAAAATAGTATCTCACAGCGAATTTATCCGTGATATGACAGCGATTTACAGTGTGTGCTCGTCTCCCAAAAAGTCGTTTTTAGATAAAACAAGGCACGAATGGTGTCCTATTTGGTTCCTTTCGTCACCATATTTCTGCGTGTTTTTTTCTCTCTCCTCTCTCCCTCTCTCTCTCTCTCTCTCTCTCTCTCTCTCTCTCTCTCTCTCTCTCTCTCTCTCTCTCTCTCTCTCTCTCTCTCTCTCTCTCTCTCTCTCTCTCTCTCTCTCTCCTCTCTCTCTCAACTACGATGAACCTCAGCCCGGAAGATTTTCAACTCTAACCCCGCTTCCGAAAAACGCTTACCAATCGCAAATCGTCCCACTTCACAGCGCCTTATGAGAATGTCTGCTGACATTGAGTTTCTGAGACGATAAGCGTGTGGTCTCTGTCATTTATAACAGCCAGCCCCCCACCACTTGACAAGACTAACCAGTCTCTCGCTTCTGTGAGGTCCTAGGCCTGGTTGCTAACGAAACGTCCCGAGCTGTCAGGGTTTGGTG